TGAGAAATTGTCCAAGGTTAGAGAGTAAATGACTCTATTCTGGGGCCTAGAATCCATCCCTCATTTGTATGTTTTGGCAATATTGAATTTAAGATTCCTGTGGGATGATTATCAAGCATTCATTTGCTATAGATATGCTTATGATATGACTGCCCATGATTGTCATGCATCATGCTACAAACTAAATACAATATTATATGAATATGAAAATGATTTGTTTCCTCTTAAGAATTTTACAGTTCAATGAAGAGGAACATAAAGGTAAATACATGATTATGTTTATGACAAATAGTGATTTTATAATAACTGTAAAACTTATTAGATGGCCTACAAGGGACAATGATTCCCATACTGGGATCATCAGAGATAACAGAGCAGAACAAGGAATGGAAGAGTGTTCCAGGCAGGAAGCATTAAGAAGGATAACGGAGGGGATGGAGCACAGGGTACATGCCAGGAAAACTTGCTCAGAAGGGCTCAGTAACAGGGTTGGGTTATAGAATGAGATGAATGGCAAGAGAAAGAACTGAAGGAGGTGGCAAGGATAGGCCACAGAAGGACTCATGCCCACAATGATAGACAGCTGGACTTCCTCATATAGGTATTGAAAGCCATATTTGCTTAAGAAGATGAACACTCTTGGGGGCAGCAATTGGGTTACATCTTGAGGAAGGCTATGAGATGTAGTAGAGGTTAGACAGGTGGATACTCTGGTAAGAGATGACTCTTATCACTACTAGCCACAGTCATCTAATGTAGTCCAAATGGGGAAGGAAGGAGAGGAAATGGTTGAAAATAAGACCACTCAACCTTAGCTGGCCAAAATGCTAGTGGTGCCATTTCTTTGTTATGAAGGGCTGTCCTGTAGGATATCTAGACACAGCTTTGGCCCTTATCCTTAAATGCCAGGAGCAGGTACTCTCCAACTATGACAACCAAAAATATTTCCAGACATTGCCAAATGGCTGCTCAGGGCAAAAATTTCCCCACTTGTTGTCCACTGGTTTAGACATGCTGTTATTAACACAGAATTAATTGGATGTGTAGTGAATGTGAGATAATAGTCAAGGATAAGTTCAAGATTTCAACAATGACAAAAGAGTTGAGAAGTAGATGTGGAAAGAAAGAACAGGTTGGATTTTGGACACACTGAGTGTGAGATATGTGTCGGATATCCTAAGGAAGAGGTCCAACAGGTAGCTGGATGGGTCCATATTCAGAGGAGAGATTTCAGGTGGAGTCAAGATTTGGGAATTATTTGTACATAAATGGGAAGAAGTACCATAGGAGTGGATGACAGCATTTGGAAAGACTAGTGGAGTGGAGTAAGAAGCAGACTGGACAGGAGTTAAGGATGGTAGAGAATTATTAAATCATGATTTAATTCATTGAAAAAAACAATTTAAGAGAAACTTGTATTACTATCCTTTTAAAAAAGAAAGAAACTTGGCATCCCGTTATCAGAGTATAAGCAATTAAAAAATTGTGTTGGGGGGGTGGGTCAGGAAATTTTTGCCTGAGATGGTTCTTTTCCTCCTTATGGAGAGTCTTAAAGGCAATATTTGTTGACTGTGTTTTGCACTGAAAACAAAGAAACACAACCTAACCTTAAAGTTCTATTATGGTAAATAAATACCTAGAAATGCAAGGTTGAATTGAAAAATCCATCATGCATTTATTAGCAATGTCGTTTCACTACTTTGTCATCAGTGTTGGAAAACAGTACTGCACTTGAAGGCTCAGGGGAAATAAAGGAGCTTTAGAGAGACACATATTTAGCCTTTGATAAGGTTCTGCAGTGATAACTCTTGGAGAAAATAAAATGTCATGAAGCAATGGACAAAAAGAGCTTATAGGATAGAAAGCAAATCCAATAATAGGAAATAGTATCACTTTTGGCAGGAAGATAATTTCCTACAGGTGACATGATTTCCATATTGTCACCGAGCTAACTGCCTACAATGCCAGTTATGGAGAGAAGCCTTAGAACTAAGGATGAATACTTGCCATAAAGAAACTCAAGGTGGCCAGATGCTCTGGGTAAATAAGTGTAAGCTAGATATCCTTGTAAGATTATATTAACTTTTCATGCCAACAATGCATCACTGGAGGTCCCAAATGATGCTATACATCTTTCAAAGGGCATTACAAACAAACTGCACACCTGTTCCAAACACAACCACCACATGCTGTGGTTCTGTGTTGAAAAGAAGGTAAATGTTGTTCCTGAAGTACTTCTCCACCTTACCAGAGGGGTATTTACTATTCTGTAGCACAAGACCCTGCGCCTGCCCAGCTCCAGCCTGTCGACCTTTCCTTCCCCTTCCTTTGCCCATATTAAAGAAGTTAACAAATGGATCTAATTACCACAGTGGTTTGAGGCTTCTCAACTTTTTTTCCCTTCCAGCTGTAAAGATGTCCTCAGATTGAGCTTCACATTCAGAACTGCTGTCAAATTCCCACTTTAATGGGCACTTAAATTTAATGTCAAGCTGATGCCTGTGGAAGACCTTGATTAAATTTGCAAACAGTAGACTCTAACCGAACCAGAACTTGAGTTTCTCCTTTCAAGCTTAAATCCCAGAAGTTTTCTTTTTTTCTTTGCAAAGAATTACAGAAGTTTGCTTGCAAAGACCCTGAGTATCAGTAAGAGCAGAGAGTAACAAGCAAAACAACCTGACTGCTTTGAGAGAGAAGAAATCCCACAGCTTATTACAATTCTATATGAATTAAAGATCTTCCCATATGCTTTATTCCATTACCAGCTCATTCAAAATCTGACTATTCACTTTCATGATTATAATGTTATAAATAGTCTTAAAAAGTTTACTTACACTCTTCCTAGTGTCCTTTATGCACATAGAAATTTATTAAGAGTCTTGTATTATATGGGCGTAGTGAAAAATGTGGAGAACACACAAATGAGATAGTGTCTCCACTAAAATGTACCGCTTCAATCAGCTACAAATTGCCAACCTAGTTTCTTTCCTCTGTAATAATCATACAGCCTCTTTTCATTGAAGAGGTAATAAAAGACTAGAAGTTAAAAGATCTGGAAGACTCATTTTTTTCATTGAAGAGGCTGCTGGCATTTTCCTCTTTTTGGGTTCTCCCTATATCATTCGATTCAAACAGGTTTGCTTTCAAAGAAAACAAAATCAAAATTGTCAAGACCCTGTGAAGCATGAAAAATAAATTGCTTTTGCCAACTCCAAAAGCACCAGAAAGGCATTAATTTCTATCTTCTTACATAAGCCTCTAACCCCTATCCTCTAATCGGTAGACTTCACAAAATGTTTAATATATTCTTCTGTATAAAACAATCTACATGACAGGAGATCAAACCTTATTACTAAGAAATTGAACTTGTTTAAATATTAGTTGTATTTACAAGTGTCATTCTGAAGTTGGACTAGATGCATATAAAACATTCAAGCAGGATGACAAATTCTTGGAGCTGCCAGCATAAAATCAATGTTCTAAGACACATCTACCATGCTGTTAATGGCTCTGTCCTTTTAGCTGGTGGGAGCATGTGCTTCATAAAAGGAGAACATGAGGCAGTAGAAAACAATGGCCTTGCAAAGTGCTGCCAGAGAAGAAACACCCTGTCATAAGATTTCTCATTTAACTACAATGGTGAAGCTGCTTCTAATATTTCCTTTTCAATACAACAGAGACCTAAGTTTCTTTTTCTTTTTTTTTTTTTTTTTAAAGAGTGAGAGAGAATTTTAACATTTATTTATTTTTTCTTAATTCTCGGCGGACACAACATCTTTGTTGGTATGTGGTGCTGCTGAGGATCGAACCCGGGCCGCACGCATGCTAGGCGAGCGCGCTACCGCTTGAGCCACATCCCCAGCCCAAGAGACCTAAGTTTCTATGCTCAGCCTACTAAAGCTAACCTAACTCTGGTGAAAACAGCTTTTGTTCATAATATTAAAAGACTTGTGGTTTTGTAGTTCATGGTAGGTCATTATCAAATTCCTGTTGAACTATGAATGATGAAAGATAAAGCAGATGGTTTCAGAAGGGAGAGATTTATGAAAGTAATTTATAATAAAGTTATTTTCTGAAGTAGGTAATAATTCACAAAGACAAGTAATAGTTCAGATAGTGACCTATAATTAAATGAGATACTATTTCCAGAAGTCTCAGAAGCCTAAAATAAAAACCAGATCAGCTGACACTTTTAGTTTAAATCCTTTTCATATTGATACAGTGTATCACAAGATTAAAAAAATGAAGTGTTCCTAATAGTCCAGTTTTTTAAATACAATGTCATCTTTTCAATTTAGTTAGCATCTGACTTAAGGATAAATAACCTCTCTCTTCTAAAAAGAGGACTGAAACAGACTTAAGAAAAGTTACATTTCAAGCTGGGTTTCCTTAGAGCCCCAAATCCTCTGGATAAGTAAGTAGAAAACCCAGGGAGGAAATCAATTAGATAAGGGCATCCACAAGACAATGCATGAATTATCAGGGAAAATCTAGTCCATCTTACCACCTTGCCAGGGGTGAACAGAGCAGGGCCGAGGCAATGTATCCACAGTGTTTGCTAAATTTCTCTGACACTGAAAAGTAGGGATTACTATTTTCAGAATATTCATTACTGAAGTTAATTAATCTACTTGGTCATTTTTAGCAACCACAAAATAATAAACTGGAGGGTAGGAAAAAAACATTTTAGACTTAAAAGCTTCTTGCTTTAAAAATCATCTATTTTTTATCCTACCCCAAAATAGATGGAAAATGACAGCAGATAAAGATTATTATCTATACAATGATCCTATTCCTTGCTAAATACATCTGGCTATACAAATTCTGTTTCTCTTAATTCTCAAGTCACAAGTGATTTCAGTAGTTTGCTATCATTCAAAGGAGTCAAAGTTCTCCTTGCTCAACTCAACTTTTTTTAAAATCTTCACTGGTGATTAGAATATTCGACACCACTGCCAAACACTACCTTGAATACTGAGGTCATAAAACAAGACTCCCAATTACATACATTTTGATATTTATTAGCACAAATGGTCCAGAAAAAGATTGAGTCAAAATTACAAATTGAGAGTAATTAAAATAAAGTTTTAGCTGCATAGTTTCTGAGGGACTTCAACAGTCCAGAAGGCATTTTCATCTCCTAAAATAGGACTTAAATCACAATATTCAAGGGCCAGACTTCAACAGAATCTTTTCATTTTCTCCTGTGTCAAAGCAAAAATACAGAGGTCTATGTTTTTGCCTGCTTTGCTAATAAGTGTGCATACGTATGTACAAGAATTGAGGTGGAATGGAGGGAGAAGTTTAAAAAAAAAAGTGAAAGAAATGGACAAAATCTTAAAAATATGAGAAATAATAGTTGGTGGGGGGAAAAGGGTTACTTAACTGCCAAAGAATCATGTACTAAAATAATCTTCTAGTCCCTCCATGTCCATTTCCAGAGAGGAATTTAAAGAGGCCAGAGCAGATGATGTATCCTTGAGTTTCTGGACACTTGGTTTGGCTTGAGGTTCTGGTTGGGTGGATTCCTTCTTGATATCTTTACCACCATTTAGGATCCGTTGACTCTCCAGAAAAAATTGATTAGGATGACTCAAAGAAAAGCCACAGTCATCCACCTAAACAAGGAAGCATATTTATATCACATCAATCTATAGCAAAATTGTAAAGGGGCTTCAAAAACTGTCTTAGGTCTTACTCAAAACTTACTTAATACCTACAACATAGATCCCAGCTGTTCTTATAACAATTACTTAACCCATTTCATTCAGAGGGAGATTCAATCACTCCCTCAACATTAATGGTTCCCAATTTATATGTCCAAGACAAACTTCTGCACCTAGCTCTACTTTCTATCTGATTCCCTATCCAACTCTTACTCAACATCTTGTATGGCTCAAAAGCAGCTCAAACTCAACATATGAGTAAGCTAACAAAAATTAAAGTGTGAACCTTCAAGTCACTTTCTTCATTCAATCCCTGGGCATGACTGAGTTGATCCCATGCAACACCCATTCTAACACATATCCCCGAGTTCTCATCTTCAGAACGTGGAGTTGATGACAAAATACCATCTATGCTTGCATTATTTAATATTTTTTAGTTGTCAATAGACCTTTATTTTATTTCTTTATATGCAGTGCTGAGAATCGAACCCATGCTAGGCAAGCACTCCACCACTGAACCACAACCCCTTGCATTATTTAAGATGGTATTTTCATTTGATATTTCTTAAAACTTAGAAACTGTACTCTTTCGCTCATCTGCCTTATTTACCAATCCTTTTGTGTATAACTCTTTGTACTGAAGTGATTTGCACATAATAGATATCTTAAAAATATATAGTTGAGCCCAGAACTAGCCAGTATATACATTTCACACATTAATTGAAGAGGTAGTAGGGTTTTAGCATTTGACTCAGACTAACTTTAAAGAAATTTCCAGCCCAGTAAGTCATACACTTAAAAAGTTTTCAAAAATAGAAAAGTGAAAAAGGTCAGAAAAAAAAAGCCTGTTATACTCTATAGTGGAGAAGGTGAAAATTTGCCATGAATGAAAAGGCAATAGGAGCAGCAGGTCAACATGAGGTGGAAAGGTAATGTCCTAGGAAAGCAAGTAGTTCACATGGCCTGGTATGAAAGGCACATGAAGGGCATAATGGGAAATGAGGTTGGAGACACTGGCAGCGACCAGACCTAAGAGAATCCTGAAAACCAGGGTAAGTAGTCTAATTCACTACGCAACAGGGAGTTAGTAAAAATCCTTAAGTGGTGTGATTAGAGCTATGCAATAATCTTATGGCAGAAAGGAATTGGCAGGAGGGAAAAGGAGCTGCTGTTACAGTTCGGAATGAACCTTCCTGATGGGTGAATTAAGCAGAAACAAGGTCTCGTTGGCAATAACGAGATTCTCTTTAGTTGTTAATGTTGGGCCAATAATTTTAGTTATTATACTGTGTACACACTGACTTCAAGTTATTGCCCAAATAACTAAGAAAAAAATCTTTACTTTTTTAAAAATTGGATGCTTGATTTCAAAATGTGATACATCTATACTTTTTATTAACGGAGTCATTTGTGAACTTCTTTATATTAATTTCACCCCAATTCATTCATAACTAAGATCAATATAAATGTTGCATCTGCAAAGTGCTTCATGAAAAGTTTACTAACACATTTCAATTAGAAGGATTTATATTTTACAAATAGAGGAAATTAGAAGGGCCCTTGAGATCCTTTAAATTGAACCCTCTTCATATGTAGACTAAGAAACTGGTGCTTAAAGAGATTACATGGTTTACTCAGTCATAGAACCATAATTGGATTTGCTCAAATTTAGGTCTTTTGGCTAGATCATTTACATTGCCTAAAACCTCTTAACAGATTTCAGACCAAAGTCAAACTGATGATATTTTATTACCGGTGTGTGTGGGGTGGAATCTGATTCCTGATGTAACATAACAGTGGGGGTTGTCTACATCTTGCTTCAAGTTATTCAGTTTTTCAATAAACCTAACATGACTGACTCCCCAGATTAAATACAATTATTAGACTGTAGTGTGGACAAAATAAAATGTGATGATCTTTATAAGCCTCCTAACCTATGAAATCGAGATGGCAATGATAATAACAGTGCTACATAACAGAAATGGGATGGGGAAAACCAAGGGAATAATGAATGCAAAAAGAGCTGTTTGTTCTATGAAATTTAAATTAAACATAGTCGAGAGGCAAGACACTTAAAGCAGAATTCTCAGGATAAAAAAGAAAACCTTGCTTTGTATATCATTTAGTTGCTTTTCAATTTAAGAAAACCCAAACTGGAAATTGTTGATAGTGCATTATGAATATGAAAGAAAAATGAAATTAAATTTCAATCATAAAACAATACACAAAAGGCCTTGCCCTTATAACAAAAGATTAGCAAATAAAGAACATTTAAATGGCTTAGTTTTAAAACATTTTAGGAATGTTCTTATTTTTTAGAAATGTGTGTGTTAACTGTTTATTAACCATTTAAAACAGTGCTTAGGGCCTTGGAATGAGGGTGATACCACAGTTCTGTATGATGGTTTGTTTCAGGAATGCATTAGCCATTCTTTATTGGTTTTGTTAAGCAACTTAATAGACCATAACAAGCTTGATAAAATGAGGAAATTAATTTCCTTTTTTACAGAATTATTTTTTTCTAGGGTTTTTTCTTTTTCACTTTTATATCTGAAGGAAGTGCACATGTTTACCATTTGGCTTCCTTTTACCTTGCTCAGGAAAATAAACTTTAAGGGGGAGGGGAATACAGAAAATAGATCTTAAAATAGAAAGTAGGCTCATCCTAGTCCCTTATTTCATTTATTTCTGCTCAAGAGCCAGCAGCTATTTGCCTTCTCATAAGAAAAGAAAGGAACATGCCATTTTCTTCATTCTAGATTTGGAAACATGAATTGAGTATTTTTATGATTGTTTTCTGTGAATCCTCTGTTCCTTGCCCGGTTGGTATTGGTGATGTTTTTCTTTGTTTCTTACTTTTTGTAAGATACTGGGAAAGGGAAATTCTGTGATAGTTTTGAGTCACTCTGTCAAAATACTTGAGCTGAATCAAATATATGAAATATCATATGTCAAGAACCATGTAATGTTTTGAACAACTAATAAGAGTTTTATCTCAGCTCATAGTTTCATTTCATAATCAGTTGATTCTATTGCTTTTAAGCCTTTGGCAATGCAGTACAAAATGGTGGGGACACATAATTAAGCAAAGCTGCTTACCTCAAGGCATCTGGGAAGGAGCCAGGGTTCCAATATTTCCTCCAAGGGCATACCCACAATTACCTTATTTCCTTCTACTACAGGGCTAAGGACAGACTTCAAGAGATGGGCTGATGGGAGACATTCAAGACCCAACTATAACACATACTAACTTGGAAGATCCAAAGTACTGAAAAGGATCTAAAATAAGATCAGTTTGGTTAGAATTGGAGGAGGTACTTCATAGGATACATTATTAATTTTTGGTCCCATCTTCAGAGAAATGGGGGCCATTAAAAGATTTTTAAAGCAGGGTACTTAAATGATATCATTCCAATAGTTGGGTGGAGGAGTAAGAATTGGAATGGGGCATCTGCAGATTCTGAGAAATAAGTTAGGAAGCTATTCCAGGGTTCCAAGTGAGAGATGATGGTGGCTTTTAGCCCAGAATTCTAATTGGTATCTAAAATGATGATCCTGAGTTATTATTAAAAGGCTTAAGTATATTTCACACGTCCCATTTAAGATTGCAGGAAAATGTGATAGGTTTTAACAATATTTCTGTAGAGATTTATATTATGGGGGGAAAATATGCTCAGCTATATAGAAAGATAAGTCTCCAGAATTACTCAATAGCTAAAGAAGTCTATTTAAAAAGAAACTGTTTTCTATTAATATTCAGACTAATTTATACAAGGTTTAGTGTTTTCATTTATACATAAAGCATGCACTACAGTATAAAATTTTAAACATTACTCCCTAAAAATACTGAGGAAAATAGGTTTTGAGCAGGCTGCTTTTGACATGTTCTAAATGAATATCTCCCAAGCATTTGCTTGGAATCAACACATGCTGCATACATGACCTTCACACAAACATAGGTCTCATATTTCTGCCACAGTAAATGTAGATTTTGAAGGAATGAAAGCAATATTGTTTTACCTATGGGATATTTGGGCTTTAATCAAGAGGTTTTGCAATGACAGCTTATAAGCTGAGGCAGCTGGTATTACCAAAAAAGCCATATGGAACTATCATAGTGCTGCTGCAAATGGTATCAATTAACTGGTTCATTTTCAAAACTTTCATTTAAGTCAATTTGATCACAGAGGCCTCAGGAAAATAAACCTAGGGTTTTATTGGGAGGGAAAGTATGGCAGAAACCTGACAATAAAAACAGATTCTATTTTTAAATTAAATTGGAAAAAATAATAAATGAAGGGAGATAGTCACATCTAAAAATCTATAATGAGATATCTAGTGAATACAAACAGCCTTTTTATTTCATTGATTTATATGCAGTTTAAGTTAGACTATTGCTGTATGTGACAGAATTTAGATACATGTCTTTTCAATACCTTCATTTGTCTAAGGCAAGTTTTAAAAATTGGCAATAGTAGCAACACTTTTGTGAGCATAATCAATAGGAGAGATACTACAAAAGCATATTTCAGAACTAAAAATAAAAATCACTCCTTTTTAGAGTCTGTCACAAACTCAATGTTTAACTCTACATATTTTATTGCTTAAAAAGGTTGGATAGTAGACCTCAATTTGTGAAAGTTCTAAATTAAAAGGGTCCCTAAATGATTCAGAACATGTATGAAATTCAAACTTTCAAATGCTGCAGTCAGATTAGGGAATGCAGTCTTTAAGTCATACAAAACTGGTGCTGAAAATAGCTTATCTGGTAAGATTACTATTCTGATGAAACTAAAGATAATTTTTTGCTTTTATATGTTAACTTTTAAATTTTGTAAAAATTTTCTGTAAAAATAATGTTTTCTAAAGTTAGGTATAGAAGCAAGAGGACTGGAGCTACATACAGCAGACCAGGTTCTAGCTGCAGACCTTCCATGTGTAGGTTGGGGAAGTCACCTTAGAATCAGTAGGTCCTTTTTTTGGGGGGAGGGGGTTACATAAACCTTGGCTCAAATAACCTCAAAAGTCTCTTCATGTTGGCTATTCCACAATTCTAGAAGATAAATTGCTATCACCTCAGTAGTCATTACAAATCTAGTACCAGATATCATGAAACAGCACAGCCATGATTAGGCTCACAAGTCTTAGATGATCTAGCCTAGGTTCAATCCCTATAAGCAGCATGACCTTCAATATGTTGCTTTAAGTTTCACTCCTAAATAGGGATATAAATAGTACCTAGCTGTGGTGTACATGGAAGGGAGTAATGTATTCAAAGAACTTAGTGCTGTGCCTGGCATGCATCAAGAGTTCTATAGATGTTTTCTGGTATTATTGTTTCATTACTGGTAATGATGTAGAAGATATCTTTCCTCTGAACACTTAAGAAATATTACAATTATATAAAATAGAAATATTTTGTGGCAACTTAATAGAAGACAGTAACATAATTTAACAGCATGGTAGCTGATGATGAATTCAATGAATGAACATGGATCCCTATGAAACCTGGTAAATACCATAGAGTCCACTGAAATGCACATATCCATTCAGATGAACCCCTAAAATCCATTATTGGATGTCTGTCCCAGGTTAGGAATCCATGCTCAGGATCAGTAGTTGTATGGAAAGTCAATGGGCTGAAATTGACTTGCAGCTGTGTTCTGTTGGCTTGCCCATGTGTATACTTCCAACAGGGCACAAGTTCTTCAGTATACCACACTGCCTGATTCTAGTCTCAGCCAGCTCCAGTTTTTTGGCTTATTTGCCTGATTCTTGTACACTGAGTTTGTAGTCCTTACTGTTCACATTTTAGACCTCACTGTGTGACATATTAAGTCACTCACTGAAGTTACCCTTTTTGTACTAAGGCAGCTTGCAAAATAAAAACCAAACACATTTCTCTGGTTTTGTTGTAATTAGGGAGGTATATGAATAATGTGACTGGGCAGACACAAACATTTTCTGAGCGGAAAATGGAACAAGCCTTTGGTTCTTGTGGGCAACTCGGGCAAAGGTTGTAGATCTAACCTAGCAGGGTGGCAAGCTAAGGCCTATCTGGCCCACCACCTATTTTTATAGATAAATGAGACATGGTTGGAACCAACAGTAATTTATGTATTTTCTATGACAGTTTTTGCATTGTAGTGGTAGAACTAAGTAGTGACAGAGAAGACATGGACCATAAAACCTAAACGTTTTCTATAGCTAGATTATAAAAAGTTTGCCAAACTCTCGGCCTTATCCTTAGATATGGAATAGTGGGTAACAGCTGTCTTATAAAGTAAGATTTTCTCATGATGCGGCTTCTCCTAGTTCCAATATTCCTGGTTCTCCAGCATCCAAGCGTAGCTTTCCGGCCCTTTAATAAGTTTTATAATTTACTTAATGCTATTTTATAAATTCCTAAAAATAGTTAAAGGGTTTCCACTGGAACTGAAACAGTAACAAATGACAAAGAATTAGGCTATAAAGTAAAAAATTTACTTACGTTATGTGTCATCTCAAAGTACTTCTGACAGGCTACCTGGTAGTGTGTCCCCTTTACCAAATCCAAAATCTAAGATGAATGAGGAAAAAGAAAAATCACAAGTTAAGTTTCTTCTAAACCACAGTAGCTCACAGGTATTGGCCTTTTCATAATCTTCACTCCAGATAGGAAATGCAATAAATCATGTAGCATGTTGTACTTCTGCAGTCTGGAAACTGTGATAATTTTGACATTATATAGTAGCTATTTGGGTCAGCATTAAACCACAGATGACAAGTGATAGTAAGTGATCTTTCTGACCTACCAACTGTGAATTTTAATAACTTTACCTTGAGAACAAGATGAAAATAGATCCTGGTATTATGACTCTGACAGTTATTGTCAGAATATCGTATGGCAACATCTCTCCCAAAATTTATAGATATAAATCTAGTAATCTAATGGTTGGTGCATGAAGCAATCAAGTATACTATTTAGATTTTTATTTTCCACATTACTTGTTTATACAGATACAGCATAAAATACTGCTCTGTGTGCCCATCAGGAAAATTTAATATAAACCTTTTGGATGACTATCTGTGAAGGAGAATGCTTCTACATTCAATCTGATTTGTCCTTTTTGAAATGAAGTTATTTCTAGTAAAGCTCAGCAGAATGTGAGTGAATAGTCTATTCTGAACACCTATTAGGAACATCATCCTATCTTTTGTAAATACAATTTGCTGTCCAATTCTACTTCACATAATCTCTTCAGAGTGGTGCCAACTCCCATCCTTATCAGCAGACTGCAATGCCAATTGAAAAGTGGAAAGTTTTGTTGCCTCCCCCAGACTCCCAAAGACATAAAATGTATATTTGGCCTATTTATCAAACACAGTAAAATGCTGGAATTAAGAGATAACCTCAAATGAAGGGAAACATAATTCTGCAGAAATGTTAATTTCTACTCCCTTTCAAAAGGCTGACCTTCCTGTCACAAAAAGAAATAAACATGAAGCCTCGAATTCCTGCTACCCTTATTATTGAATATAGCTTTACATCTTTTGACAGAAAGGCAAGAAAACTCCAGTTTTTTGGCTTATTTGCCTAATTCTTGTACACTCTGAGTTTGTAGGCCTTGCTGTTCACATTTTAGACCTCACTGTGTGACACATTAAGTCACTCGGCACTCACTGAAGTTACACTTTGTGTACTGAGGCAGCTTGCAAAATAAGGGGTATGATGCAAAACTGACAAGAATGTGCTTAAAAGACCATTTTCTCCGATTGTCTTATAGAATACATTTCTGAATTTCATGTCAGCTTTTATTAAAAGGCTTGTAAAATGCCAACCAATCAGCCCAGGATCCAGCCTGTCTACCAATTTGACTTATTCTCATAATTTCATCTCTAATAATTCAAGAAAAATAAGTTGAATTGAATCAATTTAGTTTCACTATGAAAAAGAATTTACAGAACCAAAGCTCAACCATGTGGTAGATAAGTTCCTTTTTATGTAAAAAGCAATAAATCCCACATTTTTCTCTATATAAACATTTCTGTTCCATTGTATAAATTAGAAATACAGGGAGTATGGGAGGAACAGACAGACTCTAGATAGGGGGATTAGCAAAGATGGTGGAACGTGTGGGCATCATTATCAAACGTACATGTATGAAGCCATGGGTGTGAATATACTTTATATAAAACCAGAGATATGAAAAATTGTGTTCTATATGTGTAATAAGAATTGTGATACATTCTGCTGTCATGTATTTAAAAAAAGCCATTAAAAATACATTAGAAATACATTTAAGTATCTCTCTTGTAAATATATACATATAATGTAATACATGTCTTCATTGCCTATTTCCCAAACATGTAAAAGAATCAAATATTTAGGTGATACATACATGTAAAAAGTTAGTAAGGAAAACTGACATAAGCCACAATGTGAGAAGAGAATTTTTTTTTAATTTGTATGGATTTGCAAGTGAATTTCAATCTTTTTTTAAATACCCCTATACTGGGCTTGAACCCAGGGGCGCTCTACCATTGAGCTACATATTGTCTCTTTTATTGAGACAGGGTCTAGCTAAGTTGCTGAGGCTGGCCTCTAACTTGAAATGTTCCTGTCTCAGCCTCACAAGTCACTGGGATTATAGGCATGCACCACCTCGCCTGGCCAATTATATTCTTAAAACAACTTCACCAATGAGGTCATAGTGTTATGAGGTGAAGAAAGACTCTGTAAATGTGTAAAGACTTAATAACCTCCACCCCATTGGCTAGGAAAATTGTTCAAAGACAGATAAATTTAGGCCTAAGGGAATGAGGCAGTGGAGGAAAAAACCAACAAATGAGAGAGACTGCTTTGAGGAAAGTAGGTATTATTGGTAGATATCATTTCAGAGATGAAGACATTTATCCTCTTAACATAGGGGATGTCTATCTCATGAGGACAGTAAATTTCAAAAAAAAATTAAAGTCATGTGACTTAATGATCTTGCCTTCCTTAAAAGGAATATTAAAAACTTGCATACTTTTTTTTAAAGAGAATTTTTAATATTTATTTTTTAGTTCTTGGCGGACACAACATCTTTGTTGGTATGTGGTGCTGAGGATTGAACCTCGGGCCGCATGCATGCCAGGCTAGCAGGCTACCGCTTGAGCCACATCCCCAGCCCTTGCATGCTTTTAAAATTAAAACAAAATACGGGTCATTGCTCAAAAATCCAACTAATAAAAATATAATTTCAGATTATGATCTGTATTATAGAGATACAGGAAAAGACAAAGGAATTCTTGTGGACCATTTTTCCTGAGTAAAATATGAACACACTGCAATGTTCTTAGCACAGAGTAGAGTTAACATTTTTTTTTTTAAAGAGAGGGGGAGAGAGAATTTTTTTAATATTTATTTTTTAGTTCTTGGAGGACACAACATCTTTGTACGTGGTGCTGAGGATCAAACCCGGGCTGCACGCATACCACGCAAGCGCGCTACCACTCGAGCCACATCCCCAGCCAACATTTTTAACAGAACTTTTCTGCCTGCTGGGAACTGACTGGAAAGGGCAGGCGTAGAACAGGAGTTCATTACAAGAATCCAGGGACTAGCTGATGGATCCCTGGACCAGTGTGGAAACCGCAGTAGTGGTAAGTGATCAGATTTGAAGACAGAAGTACTTCCTACTAATGGTTATAAACTATTTATACAAAGGAGATATTCTGCATGAAAATACTCAACAGGAACTTATTCCCTAATGTTTTAAAATGCATTACATAACACTCTCCTTTCCCTCCTTTATTTAGGAAATTGTTTGATTTACTAAATAAAATGAACTAGTTTTAAAATTGTTTCTTATGTAGTGGCATTTACATATCACATAAACTTTAAAGACCAAAAATACCTACTAGTCACTAAACAATATGATCAACAGAGGAGTATAACATGTGATATCTCTAGTCTTCGTGTTAGCAACATCTTAGATGCATGCCTGCTTTGCTGACTTCAAAATCTGCCCAAGTGATTCTGGTGTTCTACCTTTTGTATAGAGTGAAACTTAATATATTTTGTACTTCATTGTTGATTTTTCTAGTATGAACATCATCAGTAAGCTCTATAAGATATTCTGTAGGTATCTCTATTTTGAGGATAGCACCAATATCACTCGCTGGTGAGTTGGAAGAGTTCAAGGCAGGAAATACAAAGCTAAATATGGGAAGGAAAAGAAAATTAAGGTTTGAAAAAGACAGATTTTGGCATTTGCCAGACTTCTAAGGACAGATGGCCTGAGACAGATTTTTTTTGGAAAAAAATTTGGGGTCAGAATTAAAATACCCCAAAAGGTAATGAAGTGAAAAAGATCGTGTAGTCAGACAACAGTAATTTTTGAGAGTGTTGGTTGCCCTAGCGTAGGTTCTGAACACCTAGACCTCTATAAAGCAATAGCTCCTGTATCAGGCCATTTTCTACTGCCGTAACAAAATACTGGGTACTTATGTTGAAAATGTTTTATTAGCTGATAGTTTAGGAGGCTGAAAGTCCAAGATTTGGCAGTTTCATCTGTTTGGCCTCTAGTCACAACATGGGATGGAAAAGAGCTACATGCATAAGAGATCACATGGCAAGATGGGAAGCTAAAGGGAACCAGCTTCTTCTTTTGATAATAATCCACTCATGGGAACTGTGTTAATCCCTTCTGAAGTTGATCCTACAACATTGCCATGTGAAGGTCTAAACTTCCAGCTCATGAGTCTTTGAGGGATACGCTCAAAACAGATTCCTGAGGCTGGCCCAGAGCACAGGTCAGAAATGGAACTGATCAAGAAAACAAAAGCAATACAGAGATGGAAACTCATTGAGAGAAAGAAATACAAGAGGAGATGGGAGAAAAATGTGGAAGTACAGAGATAAAGGGAGCCCACAGCTTATAAAAGGTATTTCACTGACTCTCCAGTTTTCATATCCATTCAGAAAGGACCAAAGCTCAACATGATTTCCTACTGCATATAGTATTAATTCCAAAGAATAGTTCTCCAAAGGTCAGAGGAAACTAAATTGAGGGCCAACTCTGATGTCTGGGCTACAGGGGGCCTAATTCTGCTTTAGAAACATATAATGAATCATATCAAATAAAGGTTCATTTGAAAACAAAGACAAATTTCTGTGAAGATCTAAAATGGCAATACTAGACATTAATACCAATATCTCCAGACTAAAATACAAATGTCATATAACAAACAGTTCATTTATTATTCCAACATATTTCACAAGTAACCAAAAGGCTAAGAAAAATTGGGGAGTAATATCAAAGCAATTCACATTCCTTAACCTTTCTATCAATTGACTAAAGTCTACCTGAAAAATTTTAGATTTTTAAATATAAAGGCATGTAGTTTTTCATCTTCACAAAACAGCTCATTGTATTTGTAGTGTTTGGTAAAACCATTAATTATACTTCATCCTCAGGCAATTTTCTGCTGTTTTTGTCCCCCCCCCACACTTGTAGAGAATTCTATGGTGGCTAACAAAGATATTGTTTCATTTGAACAATGAAGAACAAATAGCTCATAACAGTCACACAG